GATTTTGTTTTTTGCTGGAGGCTCAAATACTTCAAGGTTTATTTTCGAAAATATCATATATATAGATCATAAAATTAAATTATTTATTTTAGCAGTGCTTAAGTTATTTAAAATAATATCATTTCATTTCAATAAAATATAGAGTATCACACTATGATTTATTGATTGGGAAACTTCGTTACTAATTTAAAAAGAATGTAAATGATATATGTATAATTTATTGTTAATCATAAGATTATGTAAAATTCGAAAGAATAAATATATTAGAAAAAAGAAATTCAAGAAGATTTAAGTAGAGAAGAAATTATTGAAATTACTAAAGTTAGTAATATATAAGGATATTTTAACTTATATAATAAGGAGGGATTAAGTAGCTGCTATTTACTTAATTTCAAATCTAATTAACTCTCTCTCATCTAAAGGTTTAATTTGAAGTCTCTGTTTCAAGAAAATTAAAAGATAGCATTTTATTTAACAAAAAAGCATAATCTAATATTTAAGAATATGGTAAATTGATTTAAAATTGATAATTTTTGTGAAATTCAAAAATAATTTTTTAATGGAGATATTTTTTAGTAATAATAGCCATGTCATCAAGTTCTCACTTTACTTTTAATTTATTTACAATAGAAACTCTTACTTTAATTGAAAATCTGATTTGAAAATTTAGCATCCTTGTTATTTTTTATTAAAGTTTTAAAAATCAAGTAATGCAGATATTGAAATGAATTCTCAATAGCATAATTAAAATCTACTACAATCAATTCCAAATCTACACAAAGTCCTAACTTCTATTTTTCAGAAATGCACAAGATACTTTTTTCGATTTTGCAGTATATAACTTAAAGTTAGAGTAATAGAAATTCATTATTAAAAATAATGAATTGCACTTATCATATCAAAAGTCCAATATCTTTGATATGTATAGCTCCTCACAAGTGCTAAAGAAAACTTTGTGTAGAATGCCAATATGAACATGGAGTGGATCTCAAACAAACAGTTCCCATTAATAAATTTCAAGATATGGCAATGAAGAAATTGAAAGACTCCAAGCTTGATGATAACCAAGAGTTAACCAAATAGAGATTGGCCTTGAAATCAATGCTGTCTCAAATTGAGAGTACGATGAAGAAAATTTGGGAAGAATTGTCAGAATCAATCAAATAGGTTTATAATCTGATTGAGCAGTAAAATAAAGCATACATTGATCTCATTAACGAGAATACAAATCTAACTGAAATTTCAAATACTGAGTTAGAGAAATTGATACAAATATTAGAAGGAAAATAATTAAATGTTTGGAATGCTTAGAAAAATTTTTATTTAAATTAGTTGGATAAAGTCAAGAATTTATGGGGATTATAAATTAAGTCTTTTAATGAAAAGATTAAGTAAGAAACAAATGAGATTTTTTAATAGCAATTTAACCCTATTTAAGAAGAATCTGAAGTTTATTAAAGCAAATAAGATCTTTATGAGATGCTAATTTACATTCAGGATATTGATGAATCTCTATATTAGAAGATTCTTGATATACTTAGAAAAGAGTAAGTTTCAGACACTATTGGATTCCTATCGAAGACAAAAAATAATCAGTTTTATGAATCTTTAAACTACAAGTAAGAAAATATAAAGGAGATCAAGAAGTAAGTGAAGAAAATAATTAATGTCTTGACAAATCTTTAGGATCATCAATATAATAAAGATAACTATTCTTCAAAGACTTATGAATAGGCAAGATAAGATATAATAAAGAGAATAAAGAATAACAAAGGGATCACTAATTTCATCAAATTTTTAGTACTACTAACAAGCATAGATGATAAATTTATTTAAAGTGGATCAAATGGATTGAATTTATTGGTAGGAATGAAGGTTGATATTCGGAACCTATCCTTAGAGAATATACGGATAAAGAATACTTCCTTGATTGGAGGAAACTTTGTTCGATGT